CCTCTATGTCACTCACTCTTTCGAAAACCCACGCCGCTCCCCTACTTTCTCTTATTTCGAAACTCGAGCGCCGGCGCTCACCGCAAACACAAACACGTTGTGCAAAAGCAGCGAGAGCTGCAGCGGTGTTTCCAAAAAGGTAAGAAAACTCCATAAACACAAACAAAACCACCGAACAGCAGGAAAACAAACTGATTACAGGCCGTGCCACTTTATCAAAAGACAAACGATAATTTGAGAGTCCCTCTGGGCCTCTTTTTGTCTTTGGCCTTGTTCCATGCCTGAGTTGGCTGATGCAGGCGGCTCTGAGAGTGGAGCACATGGTTGGCTCAGCACACTAAACTGGGTGATCTGCAAGCACACTGATCAACAATAAAAAAAATGACAATAACAAAATGCTCTTGGCAACAATGCTGGTTTTGAAGTTGGTCCCCTCCCAAATTCCAGTCCACCCCACCAGACTCCTTGTCATCAGTTACCATAATTAAATTACATGTGTAACTTTGTTGAGCTTTTATGTATTAAAAAAAGAAACAAGGAAAGAAAAAACATCATGGAGGAACAGCAAGGGGTCCAGTCATTTAGAAATACATGAATAACCTCTGCTAATGCTAGACAGATTTGGGGTGGGGTGGGGGGGTTGCTGGCTTTCTGAAGAGAAGAGGATCTGCTGTTTTGGGATTTTGTAATAACAAGCAAAGCACTCTTGATTTTGCCTTCATCTAGGGTTATACTTCACTTCCCCTGCTAGCAATTAGTCTCCTGAATGCTATTTGTCAAGAGCCAAGCCATTCGTTTTCCACTGGTCTGGCCCCACTAGCTCTTGTTACAATTGGCCGTTTCCTGAATAAAGAAAACATAAGCCCTTGGAGGAAGGAGCAGACCCAGCAGCTGGCTGAGACTACAGTCTGACAATGTTTAACCATGTCTGATAATTCAGCAAAGACAAACATGGCAATAAACAAATCAGAACCTGCCGCAGTGAGCAAATCTTTCTACTCTTAATGTGCAGAATAAATCTTTTTTTTAAAGACAAAAAAAGGAAATCATTTCTGAGCGTTTGAGGGTTGTAGTGATGGAAAAAAATATCAGTCAACACATGTCAATCATGCAATGCCATCGATTTCTGTTTGCAGGACTCATAAAAAGTTGCCAAAGCAAGCATCCTGCAAACAAAAGCAATGTACGCAGCTACTCGATAAAGCACAGAGAGCTGGACAAGCTGGCAGAAGCATGAAATGTAGTTACAAAAAGCCCCCCGAGGTCCAACATCTTATATGGCACACTGTCATTTTTCCTCTAGTTTCCCAATGATTGCAGAAGAGGCATTTGGGTACTTCACTGAATCCCAGCGAGGGAGGGAACCTATTGTATTCTAGGTTGCAAGGGATCTGGAGAGCCATCAAACAGCCAGACATTTTCTTGGTAAATCACAAGTTGAGAGGGAACTTTTTTTTTTCAGAGCGCAATTAACAACCTCAAGGTCAGACTTCTCTGGAGAGTTCTCTCTGACAAAAATCCTCAGGCATTTTCTCCCTTTCCTCTCTCTTTTGCTGTTAACTTAATAGCTACACATGCTCTCTCAGCTCCGTTACCTTCTTCCCCTCCGCTGTATGCACAAATTTCCCCTCGGTGCTTGGGCTTCCTTGGGCTCCCTCGTTCCTTTGCCACCATTACTCCTCGCCACCTCCCTCCCTCTCGTCTCTTTGCCCCTTTGTCTCCATTACAGATAAACGTTACTCTGTGGTCAGCGGCGACACAATTTCTTCCCCAATGTGGGAGCAGGTTTAAAATTGGTCGCAGGTGTGCAGCGGATGAGACCTTTGGATCTTAATCTTGAGGCAATAATGGAGCTGTATACCGAAGAGGTCACTGTGGGGATATCTAAAGAAAGAGCTTAGAATCATACCTGCTCTCAGAGGCAGCAACAATGAACTTTCCATCTTCTTGATTGTGCAAGCACACTTTATGAATTG